CAGCTCTGAGCCCCCACCAGGGGCACAGTCACCCCCCCATACAGCTCTGAGCCCCCATCAGGGGCACAATGGGAGGATCTGGTGCTCAAAGAGAAGTTGAATGCCTCTCTGTGCCAAGGCTCTGTGCATTCATTCACAGATGCTAACAGGCTTGCAACATCCCAAACTCATCCCGCCCATTTTGACATTTAAAGTTTAATTTTTTTATTGCAAAGTTTGACGTGTTGTTTTCGGCAGCGTTTCTCCCTCCAACTGTTCTCGGTAACAAGTCAGGGGGGTGTGCAGCAATTCAGAAATTAGTGAAATTTTATTCTTGTGGGGGGCGTTGGATTAAGGGGCTGGGAGAGTGTGAGACAAGTCAACGTGTAATTGTATGATAAGCGGCTCTCACGAGGAATTTATTGGCCAAGTTGGTATTTCTATTCCTTCCTAATCTCGTTGAGCACATTCATTCTCTGCAATCTGTCTCCATAATCTTCTGTGGCAGAACGGCAGCCAATAGAAGCGCGCATGTTTGGAGAGAAGAGAAAATATGCAGAAGCACGATAAACTGATGCTAATTATCCATATTTAGGACACCGAGTGCAGAAGATCAAGGTTTACAAATAACAAACCAGAGCCAACGATGATGGCTTCCTCGTGCAGAATATGTTGGAGGGGACCAGATAAGGGCTTCACGGGCAGGAGAGATTTATTGGTCAAAGGGTTCACCTTGCACTTTCCCACTTTTCCACAGCAGTGAATTATTCAGGCTAAATTCACCAGAACATTACTCTTTTATTTGGCCAGGTGCCACGACTTGCTCCTTCTTTGTGCCCTTTCAATGCAAATCCTTGTAGTGTAACATCAGTCGATAAGGGACAAATAGTTGAAGTCATAGGTAATTCCCTTTAAATGCTACCTATAGGGCAGTGAGTTAACGCTGCCAGGATGATGTGATGAGGGGAGAAGCAGAGGGGGCTAAAAGTGAAGCCACATCGACCCGGCCATTGAATCACATCTCTGCCAGAGGCAAAACAAACAGACGCCTTCACCGCACGTGTGTGTACATAGGTCCCTGTGTCCCACCGGCCGGCAAGCTGTGCTAAGAGGCAGGTGTGGGAGCACTGGGCCAACATGTCTGTTTTTCCTGTATGGAATCCGTATCATTTACAATTTTTTAAATTTAGGGGCGCCTGGGGGGCTCGGTCGGTTACGCGGCTGACTTCGGCTCAGGTCATGATCTCAACGGCTCGTGAGTTCGAGCCCCGTGGCAGTCTCTGTGCTGACAGCTCGGAGCCTGGAGCCTGCTTCGGATTCTGGGTCTTCCTCTCTCTGCCCCTCCCCCGCTCATGTTCTGCCTCTCTGTCTCTCTTGAAAATAAAGAAACGTTAAAAATTGTTTAAAGATTTTAAAATCTAAACATACTTTTTCTATTCTCTCTACTGTCCCCACACCACCTCCAAATGACCTCATATTTAAATGTGGCTCCCAGCCCCCTCCAGGACTTCTGGCTCTGAGAAGAGAGGAGAAACAATTCAGGCTGGAAATGCGGGGTAGCACGGCTGAGGGGTCAGTGGTAGACATTTTTCTGCATTACAATAGTTGCCTCGTAAGGTTTCCAGAAAACAAATGCAAACGCAGCATGGCATTTTGCTGCACATCTACACGTTCATCTCGAAATTTAAAACATTAATAAATCCCATTCAGTGGTACTAACTTGGTGACTTTTTTTTTTTTGACTCATCATCAGATTTGGTACCCGTTTGGATCAGCTTGCTTCTTCCTCTGAGAGTCTTCCAGAGTTTTCGTTTGTAACCTCTTCAGTTGGTGACGGACAAAGCAAGAGGAACTCTCTGTCAAACACACACAGCCATCCAGTGTGAACCACTTGCATATAGAAGACTCAGAACAAAAACAACCGTGCTGAAGTTTGGGAACTTAATTCATACAAATTCCAACCTAGAGATGTGTTACGGACGAACAGTGACCTTTGACACGCGTCTGTCCTCACCCCAAACCACACAGACAAGAAGCTATCCGTAGGTTAACACCACACACGTGCACTTGTTTTCTTCAACAAGCCTCAGGTGCTCTTTATTGCAGGCTGCACCTTTATTTTACCTGCCACCGTGCAAGGAAACAAATCTGCTGGTGACAGTTGTAGTTGTCACTGATGGTAACGGTCCGTGCAGATTCCAGAGGTGATGAAACTAAAACCGTGTGTCTTCCAACCAACCAACGCAGGATGCGTGGTTGTGCTAGTCGAATGATGAGTCTGTAACATTTTGCCCACGATGTTTTCAAAATTAACCACCATTCTGGAGAAATTAACTTTGTTAAAAATTAACAGATGTGAGGGGCGCCTGGGTGGCGCAGTCGGTTAAGCGTCCGACTTCAGCCAGGTCACGATCTCGCGCTCCGTAAGTTCGAGCCCCGCGTCGGGCTCTGGGCTGATGGCTCAGAGCCTGGAGCCTGTTTCCGATTCTGTGTCTCCCTCTCTCTCTGCCCCTCCCCTGTTCATGCTCTGTCTCTCTCTGTCGCAAAAATAAATAAACGTTGAAAAAAAAATTAACAGATGTGTTAAAATAATATGTAGTCAACACACGCAACACATGTTCTACAGCTACGTATAATTTAAAAATGTAGAATTGAGACCATTATCCATTCAGTTCACCAAAAGAAGAAAAAGAAAAGACAAAAATAGTCTTTTGCCGGTAACAATCCAACAATCGAGGCTAAAGGTCTAGGTTGTTGGTGCTTCTAGAAATTACCTAGGCTACAGAAAGAATCCAATTCTTCAATTTACCGGATGCGTGCACACTCCTAAAGATCAGCGTGTTACCCCACACATATAAACGTTGCATGTCAGCCAAAATAAAGTGACTAATTTCGGCTTGGCCCGGCACGGTTTGGCTTGTCCGGTTTCGGTACTCCAGGCGGGAGTCTGTTGATTTGGATGATCTGGTTTGCGGTATCCGCTCTTCTCCCGGAAATATGGGATTGTTATCCGTGAGCCCCGAATAGTGCCCAAGCTCTACCTGCAGACTCTCTCTTGTCCTCAAGCCCCGCTTCTTCCCTCATCAGCAACCGCCGGTCAGTCTATGGAAACTAGCCACGAAAACAGGCTACGAAAACAAAATTCAGTTCAGAGGGAGAGCAACCAAAATGCAAGGAACCAGTTGAACTACTTACAGTTGAAGCTAATTTATAATTGTTAGCTTCTTAAGATTAAATTTAGTGGGTCTGGTCTTTCTAAATTAGCTTGCGTTCACACATTTGGACAGAGGCAAATTTTTACCCCACTAGAAGCGTACCGGGAGACCGCACAAAAGCAAAATGGGGAAAAAGTCACCCAACCAACAGACCCAGGATTCTTAATGTGGCTGCTGCCACAGCTGCATCATCCCAGGCTGTGCACGTGCGTGTGCCTGTGTGTGTGTATGTGTGTGTGTGTGAAGATGCGTGTCATGAGTGTGTGTGAATGTGCGTCCATGTGCCTGCATCTGTGATTGTGCACGTGTGCCTGCATGCATGTGTGTGCGCCTGGATGCACGTGTGTACGTGCCTGTGCCTGCGTGCGTGTGTGCACGTGTGTACAGCATGTATGCGTGTGCCCGCATGCGTGTGTGAACATGCACGTGTGCATATGTGCGTGCCTGCCTGTGCACACGTGTGTGCACACGTCTGTCACACACTCACAGGTGCTGTGCAGACCGCAGCATCTTGTGGGAGCCGGGGGCTGGCTCTGGCAGAGTTAAGCACTGACTGATCCGAGTCGGGGAGAAAACACGGAGGTCAGAGGCCATCAGAGAGAATGTCAAAAGAAACAGGACGGTGTGACGCTTTGCGTTAGTGTCTTCGTGGAGACCAACGCTGTGTCCTTCCTCGTGCCTCGTGACGCCGGCATAGCTGCCAGTGTGAGCTGTAGGCTGGGCTCTCACCCCCCGCGGGGGCTTCCTCACCGTGGAGGGTGTGCTTACCGCGTTCTCGCCCCTCCTCTCCCTCCTCCACCCCGTATCCACGAACACCAAGTACTTATTGGGTGCACGGAAACTTCACTGAGCATCTCCATCGTAAATACCTTGTTGCCACCGAATCTTCAAGTCATGCAGAGGATGGCTTCGTGTGTCCATCTTTAGCGAAGGCCTTTCGGCCCTTCAACATGTCTCCGAGCCAGATTTCTCATCTGTGGGCGGCATGCGCAGAGGTGTCTGAAACAAACACAGAACTCCAATTATTGTTTGCCCGCGCACCGGTTAGCAAGATGATTACAAGATACAGTAAATACGCTTGGCATGTTGAGACACACTTTCAGCTCCAATGACTTCAAATAGCTTCTAAGTAAAACAAATAAACAGAATAATGGTGGGATTTATTTGGAATTATTCATTATGAGACTACCCAAGGCATGACATTTCCAATCACGTCTTAATTTTCTTTTTAGGAGCAGAAAGGGTTTTCATATCTTGACATATTCGTCACCCTGGGCTGAGGTACTTATCTCCCTGGCTCATTCTATGGTTCCAAATGCTGACGGCACGCTGTGGGGTGTTTTGTGGACCATGCATGGTTGGCTCTGGCTTTTACACGTTAAAAGTGAAATAAATACCCAGGCTAACTGTCCTAGATTATGATCTAGGAGTTGATGTGTTAAATGAGCCCGTTGCTTTAAAGGTTATAAATGACAAGATTTTTACTATTACAAGTAATTTATAGCTATTTCCTGTTTGACGTGACAGATCCTCCTGGAGAAGTCCAAATTTGTCTGCTTGACATACGTTTATTTTAACATTCTCTCTTTCTCCAAATTCTAGAATGTATTAACTACTGTTTTCCTGGGTGTCAATTTGCACCTGTGGGGTCTACCTCTTGAGGCTCTGGTGAGGTCCCCTGGCCTCTGCTCCAGACGGCTGCCTGCGTTTCAACAGCTGCTGTGGATGAGGACTGGCATATTTACTGTAATTTATAAAAATCACAGGAAACGACATTTTCATTAGTCACTGACTCCACCATCACCAACGGCAATGGATGTTATGCATACAAATCCATTTAAAAAATTGTTCTTCCCAAATCAGAAGCTCTTCCGGGTCTTCAATTCTGTGAAATGATCACGTTTCACTTTGCTTACAGCAAATGAGGTCACAGAGGAACTCAGATTTCAGCTTATTTCCTATGGCCTGGAACTTTTCTACGTGAGTGCTGGAATAAGGATCAGGGAAATGCCTTCCCAGACAGAGAGGAAGATCCAGAAGTGTGCGCGGGCCTCAGCGTGGAGGGCAGCCCACGGACACTTCCGGCCCACCGTGAGGATGACACACGTGAGCAGGAATTTTCTACGTGGACTAGGGCCGAGGACACAATTTGCTATCCGTCAAGATATCAGGATGTTTGGTATTAGTAGGGGATGGGGTGCTTTTGAGGGAACAGCAGAAAACAAGGAGCCTTGAATGCCATGCTAAAGGAGCCCAGACCTGTGGCACCAGGAGGGACCGGACCGTAGAACACAATGGAGGAAGAGCCTTTACTGTGGACAGGGAGAGAGGCAGAGCAGGAAAGGGGCTCATGCTTGTTGACCCTCATTTGTTAATACACATCTGTACTAGACACAAAATCTGTTGTTTAGTGTCAACAAAGCTGGGGCACAGGCTTTTAATGCCCATGTTACACTAAAAAAACTGAGGTTCAGGGGAACCCCACTGGTATACAGGAAAGCCAACATCCAAACTTGTGTCTTCATGACTGAGATGTTCCTAACAGCCCACCATGCTACCCTCAATGGGACCTCCGACGGGGCAAGGAGAGACATCGACGAGAGGCATGGACTACACATCAATGGGACATTGATGGAGTCATTGATGAGACATTGATGAGATATTGACAGTCATTGATGAGTCACTGGTGAGACATCACTGAGTCATTGATATATCATTGATGAAACATTGATGAGTCATTGATGAAAGACATCAATGAGACATTGATGGAATCATTAATGAGTCTTTGATGAGACATTGGTGAGAAATATTGATAAGATATTGATGAGTCATTGAGATATTGATGAGTCATCAGTGAAAGACACTGATAGACACTGGGGTTGCTCACATAGGATGTGAACACAGGAACCATCCTGATAGGTGCCTCTGCTTTAGAAGAAGCAGCCAATTCATCTGGAAGAGGAAGAAAGGGCATGGCGGGTGAGATGGCTTGAGGGGAGTGCTTGAAAGATTGAGACAGCAGAGCTCAGAAAGGGAAGAAGAATGTGACCAGGGGGGTGCAAAAAAAAAAAAAAAGAAAAAGAAAAAGAATCCTAAGGGGGTTTTAGGGACCAGCTGATTTTTCAGATGAACCAAATGTAATATGCCATGAGCTTGTAAGCATGGGTTGAAACACAGCATAGATACTTCTCCGTGGACCGAGGGTCAGTGCAGGACATGGCCACTTCAAGCCCAGGGTGTGTGAGATGCTGACGCTGTTGTAAGGTTTTGAATGGGGCAGCCTAGTGAGGGCTCAGGGAAGAGATGAGATGTGTCGTGTTGTGGGTGGAACACAGCTCGCTAGAAAGTGCGTTTCAGAATCAGACCACTCTGTCTCGAGCAGGGCCACCCTGCACCTTCGGGAGGCAGGAAATTGGTTTGGAAGAGAGCTGAGAGAGAGAGAGAGTCAGAGAGCAAGAGTGAAGGGCCAAGAGAGAAGAGGAGGAGGGAATGGAAGGAGGCGGAGGAGAAGGCACTGGAAGGAAGCAGGGGGGAGTGGAGAGAAGTGGTGGGGGGCGGGGGCTGCAATGCTGCCACGTGACCTAGGGCCCTACAGCGGCGGTGCTCCCCTGCCATGACCAGTACCAAAGATCTAATTAACAGTTCTCTGCTGTTGGCGACGAAGAATCAGATCTAACACATATTTGTTGAGCACCTATAACGTCTCAATCTCTCAGGAATCTCCCCGTCTTTAGTTCTCAGAAGAATTCTTCAAGTTAGATAACATTTTTCCAGTTTCTATATGAAGAACCTGAAGGTCCGAGGAGTGAGGAATCTGCCTGGCCCATACAGTTGGTGAGGAGCATGGTCCGCGCGTGAACATGGCCACTAGCAGAGCTGTCTCCACACGCACAGCCCCTGCTGTAAGACTTACACACATGCATCCAGCACAAGCACCAACATGCAGGAGGTGAAGTGTGGCGGGCCAAGGGGAATGGAAGGTTGCTACGGTTGGAAGGACCCTGCAGAAGAGCTAGAAGGAGCGTCTGTATCTCTTGGGGGAGTCCACAGGGGAAGTTCTGGGACATCGCCTCATCGCACAGGCTGGTGAAGCCCAGAACCCCTTCTCAGGCTAATGGTTCTAACTGTATAAACTAAGGGGTGCCTGGGCGGCTCAGTCCCTTTAGCGTCCGACTCTTGATCTTGGCTCAAGTCACGATCCCACGGTTCGGAAGTTCCAGCCCTGTGTCGGGCTCTGAGCTGACAGCGTGGATCCCGCTTGGGAGTCTCTCTCTGCCCCTCCCCTGCCTCTCTCCAAATAAACATTAAAAAAAAATCAGTGTACAAAATGAGATGCATAAAAGGAACCCAGTCATTACTTAGAAAATTGACAAACAGAATCAAGAACATGTATTCTGACTTCCTATACTAACTCTACCACTGGGTAACCAAATCATTGATGAGGCATGCGTTTCCTTGTAGAAATGTTACAGATAATACATTAGAAGAAATGGTAGAGTTAAACCATTTTGTGACCCCTAACCAACTAATGGACCTGTGGTTGTTGATGGAGATATCCAGGAGTAATCTCGCCCCTTCTTCTGCCCCTAAAACCTGCTGACATCAAGCCTCTAGAGCCAATTTTCAGTTTATAGGAAAGAAGGAAGAAAGAGGGACAGAGGGACACGATGAACTACACCATGGGGATGCAGCCATATCCTAGACTGTTGGAAACTCTACACAATGGACAACCTATAGGAGTTACTACAGGAACTCGCAGCATTGAGAAGGATTTGGGAGTAGAGCTGGATGATGGATGTGTGGGAGCCTATATATCTTTCCGTCTACTTTTACGTATGTTCCAAGTCCTTCACAATAAAAAAAATTAAAACCAATACTTAAGGTTATCAAAGAAACAACTTGTACTTTGAAAAGCGATTATCGAAATACGTTTTGAAAATATTTCATGATACAGTAATAATTTCCCTCCATAACGCACTGAGTAATAAGGTCTGCGGCAGGTGTAAAAACTACCGCAAGGTCATAATGGCTGTGAGTGTAAAACTGTACTGTGAAAGGAAAATCCCATTATTTCAACGGGTGGCAACATCACAGGAAATGCTAATACTCCTGACGTTTGTTGACTACGTTCGTAACTGAAGAAAAATGCTAAGTTTCAACTCGAAGTTAATAAAAATAAAGGTGAATATTTTTCTGTTCTGGGGGCGTTCTGAATTCTGTGCATGGATGGAATCCTTCGATCCCAGGTTAACAGCCCCTGTTCTAAAGGTATGGGAGAGTTCTGGAGTGTTTCTACCCTGGGCTAGAGCTGTCCCATGTCTGATATGGGAATTTGAACTGACTTAAAAATCATGTTTCTTATCGGCTTGAGGAATTCTTGAATCTGTCTCTGGTATCCTATTTTCCCTTTGGAGACCTGGGGACCCTTGCTTCAGAGATGAGCTGGGAATCTTAGCATTTCTTCTTTGCTCCCCCGATAGAAGTGACCCAATTAGCATGCCACATTCACTCTACCACTTGAGAACCATTTATAATACTGGGGTGCCTGGGTGGCTCAGTCAGTTGAGCCTCTGACTCTTAGACTCAGGGTCATGAGTTCAAGCCTTGGGCTGGGTGTGAAGCCTACTTAAAACAAAACAAACAAAACAACAACAAAAAGCCACCACTTGTAGCGATATAAAACCGTAGATTCCTAAAATGTCAGAACAAAAGGAGAATTTAATGCAACACCTGCATTTTGCAGATGGGACCGGTGATAGGTTACCCATCCAGTCCAGAAGCCCCTATGCTTTCTGAATCCATGGCGCCCTCAGTGTCTCTGCCATTTTGTCACAGGAGGTCCTTGTCCAAAAAAATGCCTAGTAGTTTTAAATAGTTTAGTTTCAACTTAAAATATTTTTAGGTACTAACAAATCTGTAGCCATTTGGAAAAAAAATACATGTAAATTGAAGGAAGACACTGATATTTTAATTACATTCTCAAATAATCACGAGTTCTTACTAATGGCACGTATGCCCTCCACTGGAATTCAATTTGGCCACCATCACCTTCCTGTCACTTTCCTGTGTGTGGTGCTCACTTTTTATCACAGAAACTGCTCAAAACCCACCTTGACAAAGATAAGATGCTCTTGTAAGGCGTGTGGCATAATCTAATGTTGAACAAACCACTTGAGGCTGGTTGTGTGCGTGGTGTCCACCAGGTGACAGGTATCACCGTGCCTCTGTTGAAAGTTGAAAATATCCCATGGCATCTCTGTGAGTGAGCCGTGATGTCCCAGGGAACCTTGGCACACAGGGAACCAAAGTTATAGCCCAAGGTTATACAAGCAGGCACAATGGATCCAGAGCAACCAAAGTCTCTTGCTTCCTCATCCAGTAGGCCACGTCCATGGAAGAACTATGGCCTCCTCTTGATTTCATTTTATAAATGGGTATCTGTCTAAACCAGAACTTGATGGAATCATGTGGCAAATTACTGTGTTGAATGCTGAAAATCCTCCCTATCCAAGTAAATTTAATTTATCTGGGCTTTGTCCTCTGAGCAAATTTGTTTGTGGAAAGGCCACTATTAAATTTTTTTTTTAATTCTGGTGATTTTTTAAGCTGAATTTGATGGTTGATTTCCATTTGCACTTATACTTCTGGACACGATGGAAAATTGGTATCAAACCAGACCTTCTACTATTAAGAAACGATAAAACAGAACAAAACATACGAGATAACTATTTTCAGATGTTGGGCAACAAGCAATATAAAATTGTGACCCCAGAGAGGGTAAAAACAGATGAGGCAACCCCACAGTCACCCAGATTTCTGCCTGGAGGCACTTCTCAAACCATGGTGCAGGGAGGGGGAGCCCACGCAGAATAAGACAGTTCCGCCAGGGTGAGGGGACGGAAGTTGGAGGGTAGGACCGAAAGGGGACCTGGAGGGCAGGGTATGAGGCATCAGACAAGGATTCCAGAAATCTGCATACATAGACATCCCCTTGAGTACCTGACTGAAGAGCTGGTGGTCTGTGCTGAGGCCAGGTTCTGATATGGTGGACAAAGTTCAATGACCAAGGAGAAGTGGGAGAAGTGGACATTCCAGAACTTACACAGGGCTAGAAAATACTGAAGCACTGACCACCCAATCCGGAAAGACCACACTGGACTCACTGAGTGCTCCACTAATATCCCAAGAGAATAAAGCTAAGACTAGGGCTACTCGAGCGCTAGAGTAAAGACTACTCTAGAGGTGTCTTAACGAAGCTTAGGGACAAGACCTCACAAGGTTATCCGCAAGTAAGTTAACTGCCTCAGAATTAAATTTCATACTCTTTAAGTGAAGATGATAAAATTTGGACATTCAACAATGTGGCATCCATCATGCCCCGGATACAATAAAAAACTGCCAGACATGTAAAGCAGCAAGGAAATGTGAGAAAAATGTGAACAGTAGTAAAATCACTTAAAAGAAACTGAACTGTAATGACCAAAAGGATAGACTTTAATACAGCTGTTACAAATGGGTTGAAAATTTTCAATGAAAGTATGGATATATTGTGGGAACAGAGGGGCAAAGCCAACGGAGAAGTAAAAATGATTGTAAAAGAACACATGAAAATTCTAGAACTGAAAAATACTTTCTAAAATTAAATAGTTCCGATAGAAACTAAAAAATGCCAAAAGAACAGATGAATGAAACTAGGAGCTGATTCTTTGAAAATATCAATAAGACTGATAAACCTTTAGCCAGACTCATCAAAAAAGAGAGGACTCGAATAAACAAAATCAGAAATGTGGGGGGGGGGGTGGGAATAACAGCCAACACCAAAGAAATACAAAGGATTGTAAGTCAGTATTATGAAAAATTGTATGCCAACAACTTGGGCAACCTGGATGAAATGGATAAAATCCTTAGAAACTTACAACCTCTCTGAGTCAGGAAGAAATAGGAAACTCAGACTGATTACCAACAATGAAATTGAATCAGTAGTAAAAAAATTCCCAACAAACAAAAGTTCAGGACCAGACAGCTTCACATGGGGATGCTGCCAACTATTTAAAGAGGAGTTAGGGGGCACCTGGGTGGCTCTGTCAGATGAGCATCTGACTCTTGATTTCAGGTCAGGTCATGATCTCATGGTTTGTGGGTCCAGACGCTGTGTTGGGCTCTGCGCTGATAGTGTGGAGCCTGCTTGGGATTCTCTCTCTTCCACTCTCTCCACCACTCATGCTTTCTCTCTCAAAATACATAAATAAATTTTGAAAAATCTTTTATATTTTAAAAAAATAAAGAAGAGTTAGTATGTACTCTTTCAAACTTTTCCAAAAAATAGAAGAGGATGGGGGCGCCTGGGTGGCGCAGTCGGTTAAGCGTCCGACTTCAGCCAGGTCACGATCTCGCGGTCCGTGAGTTCGAGCCCCGCGTCGGGCTCTGGGCTGATGGCTCAGAGCCTGGAGCCTGTTTCCAATTCTGTGTCTCCCTCTCTCTCTGGCCCTCCCCCATTCATGCTGTGTCTCTCTCTGTCCCAAAAATAAATAAATGTTGAAAAAAAAATTAAAAAAAAAAATAGAAGAGGATGGAAAACTTCCAAAATCATCCTAGGAGGCTAGCATCACCCTGATATTAAAACCAGATAAAGACACCACAAAGAAAGAGAACAAGAGAGATGCCTGGCTGGCTCAGTTGATGGAGTATGCAAATCTTGATGTCAGAGTTGTGGTTTCAAGCCCATGATGGGCGTAGAGATTACTCAAAAATAAAATCTTGAAAAAAAAAAAAAAAAACTACAGGCCAATACATCTCTGATGTACACAGACGAAAAAATCCTCAACAAAATACTAGCAAACCAAATCCAATACCTTAAAAAATCATTTACCAAGATGAAGTGGGATTTATTCTGGAGTGCAAGAGTGGTTCAATATTTGTAAATCAATCAACATAATACATCACATCAACAAGAAAAAAGATAAAAACCATAGAGCCATTTCAATAGATGCAGAAAAAGCATTTGACAAAGTACAATATATATTCATGATAAAAACCCTTGACAAAAGAGATTTAGAGGGAACATACCCCAACATAATAAATGCCATATATGGAAAACCCACAGGTAACATCATACTCAATGGTCAAAAACTGAGTGATTTCCTCTTAAGGTCAGAAACAAGATAAGGATGTCCACTCTCACTTTTGTGCAACAAAGTACTGGAAGTCCCAGCCACAGCAATCAGACAAGAAAAAGGAATAAAAGACATCCAAATTGATAAGGAAGAAGTAAAACTTTCACAGTTCGCATATGATATAATTTATACAGAAAACTCTAAAGACTCCACTGAAAAAACTACTAGAACTGATAAATGAATTCAGCAAGTCGCAGGATATAAAATCAATATACAGAAATTCATTGCATTTCTGTAGACTAACAGTGAAATGGAAGAAAGAGAAATTAAGAAAGTAATCGTATTTACAACTGCACCAAAAATAATAAAATACCTAGGAATAATAAACTAGGTGAAAGACCTGTGCTCTGAAAACTGTAAAACATTGATGAAAGAAATTCAAGACGATGCAAAGAAATAGAAAGACATTCCAAGCTCATCGATTGGAAGAACAAATATTGTTAAAATGTCAATACTACCGGGGTGCCTGGGTGGCTCAGTCGGTTAAGCGGCCGACTTTGGCTCAGGTCATGATCTCGCAGTCTGTGAGTTCGAGCCCCGCGTCGGGCTCTGTGCTGACACTCAGAGCCTGGAGCCTGTTTCGGATTCTGTGTCTCCCTCTCTCTGACCCTCCCCTGTTCATGCTCTGTCTCTCTCTGTCTCAAAAATAAATAAACGTTAAAAAAATTTAAAAAAAATGTCGATACTACCCAAATCAATCTACATATTCAATGCAATCCCTATCAAAGCAACACCAGCATTCTTCACAGAGCTAGAACAAACAATCCTCAAGTTTGTATGGAACCACAAATACCCTAAATAGCCAAAGCAACTGAAAAATAAAAACAAAGCTAAAGGTATCATAATTCCAAATTTCAAGTTATACTACAAAGGTGCAGTGATAAAAACAGTATGGAACTGGCACAAAAATAAACACATAGATCCATGGAACAGAATAGCCCAGAAATAAACCCACAATTCTATGGTCAATTAACCTTCAACATAGGAGGAAATAATATTCAATGGGAAAAGGATAGTGTCTTCAACAAATGGCATTGGGAAAACTGGAGAGCTATATGTAAAAGAATGAGGACCCCTTTCTCACACCCTACAGAAAAATAAACTCAAAATGGATTAAGGACCTAAATGTGAGACCAGAAACCATAAAAATCTTAAAAGAGAACACAGGCAGTAATTTCCCTGATGCCCACCGTAGCAACATTTTTCTAGATATATCTCCTGAGGCAAGGGATACAAAAGCAAAAATAAACTATTGGGACTACATCAAAATAAAAAGCTTCTGCACAGCAAAGGAAACAATCAACAAAACTAAAAGACAACCAATGAATGGAAGGAGATGTTTACCAGTGGCATATGTGATAAAGAGTTAGTATCCAAAATATGTAAAGACTTATACAACATGGAGTACCTGAATGACTCTGTTGGTAGAGCATGTGACTCTTCATCACGAAGTCCTAAGTTTGAGCCCCGTGTTGGGCATAGAGTTTACTTAAAATTCTTAAAAAGAAAAGAACTTCTACAACTTAACACCAAAAAAAAATCTAATTAAAAATGGGCAGAAGACATGAACAGACATTTCTCCAAAGAAGACATCCAGATGGCCCACAGACAACTGAAAAGATGCTCAGCATCAGTCATCCTCAGGGAAATACAAATCAAAATCACAGTGAGATATCATCTCACAGGTACCTGTCAGAATAGCTAAAATGAAAGGCTCAAGGAACAAGTGCTGGTGAAGATGTGAAGAAAGAGGAACACTCTTGCATTGTTGGTGGGAATGCAAACTGATACGGCCACTGTGGAAAACAATATGGAGTTCCTCAAAGAATTAAAAATAGAAGTACCATATAATCCAGTGATCATGCCATTTACCTAAAGAATACAAACACACGCATTTGAAAGGATATGTGTGCCCCTATGTTCATTGCAGCGTTATGTACAATAGTCAAATTACAGAAGGAGCCCAAGTGTCCATCAATAGATGAACAGATAAAGAGGGGGTGGTATGTATACACACACACACACACACACACACACACACACACACACAATGGAGTATTACTCAGCCATAAGAAAAGAATGACATCTTGCCATTTGTAACAACATGGA